TTTTGTTACAAGAATTAAAGTTGAACAAAATGAAATTTTTAAAAAACATGTTTCTAACTTTTTTTTGTTTTAAAGTAATGCCTTTTAAATACCTTGGGGTGATGATAAGGGGAAATCAAAGAAAATTGGCTATGTGGCAACCACTGGTTGACCTGGTCAGGAAAAAACTTACAAGTTCGAAGAGAGGCTGGCTGTCATTTGGTGAAAGGCTTACGCTACTCAATTCTGTGCTCTCGTCTCTCCCAGTGTTCCTTATGTCCATCAACCTCGTTCCAAAAGGTAAAGGTAATAAATAAAATTAGAAGGGATTTGCTATGGGAGATGTGAGGAGAAGAAAAAGGTTCATTGGATAAGTTGGAAAAAGGTGTGTCAAGGTAAAAGAGATGCGGGATTGGGAATCAAAGACCTTAGATTGTTTAATTTATCCTTATTGGGCAAATGGTGGGGAAGATTCGCAGAGGGCAGGGAGGGATTGTGGTTCAAAATCATTAGAGAAAAATATGGAGGTGGAAGTGAAAATTGGACCAACTGGGTTTGAGAAGGTAGGGGGAAAGGTTCGTGTTGGTGGCAAGACTTATGTAGAATAGACGTGTTAGAATTGGGAAATTGTGGTTGGGTTTTAGAAGGTTTTGAAATATCATTAGGTGAGGGTAGTTGCGTAAACTTTTGGAGGGATAAGTGGATGGAGTCAGAGGAGTTAGCTAACAAATTTCCAAGGTTGTATTTAAACTCTGCAGGTATAGATAATATGATGAACCAGATCAGAATTTGGGAAAATGGGGCATGGAAGTGGAATTTACAGTGGAAACGTGAGCTATATTCATGGGAACAAGATTCATTACTGACACTTGAACACATATTAGAACAAATGACGCCGAGGCAAGAAGAAAAGGACTTTTGGTTGTGGAATTTTAGTACCAACGGCAGGTATTCACCATGCTTCGGCTACTCAAGATTGGTAGTTAATGCGAACTCGCCTCAAAGGAAGCTGTTTTAAAGTGTATGGGATCAAACCATCCCTCATAAAGTCTATGGATTTGTTTCGCAGTTAATTTTGGACCGTTTGCCAACTAAGTCTAATTTGCTTAAAAGAGGGATAATTAAGGACTCAACTAAGGTTATGTGCACCCTACGTGAGGAAAATGTTGAGGACTGAAACCAGTTGAGGACTGAAACCATCTGCTTTTACTCTGTAAAATAGCTTCCCAGGTTTGGTCAAACTGCTATAAATGGTGGGATGTGTACACTGCTGCAGTAAGCAATGTGCGCGAAGCTTTTGAGCAACACGAGGGGCTCATGCTTGATGGGAAAATACAGATAAGCTGGGAAGCTATATGGTTTGCTGTGACGTGGACTATTTGGAATGCTAGAAATGAGAAGGAATTTAATGGTTGGCACGGTAGATGCTGACAACATGGTTGGCACAGTAGATGCTGGCAAAATGGTTGACCCTTTAAAAGTCATATCAGTGGGTAAAAAATAAAGGAAAGGAGAGGTTTTTATTTATTTATTTATTTTAATTTTATGTCAGACTAATCATTATTTCAAAGGTATGTGTTAACAAATAAATTACTTTCCAATAGATAGTTGGAGTTTGGTTAAAAGTTAATAATTAAATTAAATGTTTAATAATTTTTTAATTTTATATATGGATATGAGTATCTTTATATTTATTTAATAATTTTTTTCCATTCGAAAAAACCTTTTTTATTTTTAAGTTGTTTTCAATTTCTGAAGGGGTTAAAGCTTAATTACATTTTTTGCTGTTAATCTCTTAATTTTCTGACGTTGATGATCATGTCCCCTCCTTACATATATTTTTCAACGGGAAATACTAGGTGATATAACAGAAACACAAATATGGTAGACTACGATGCAACTCAGAACTTTCAGTCACTGGGAGAGCATTTAATTTCATGTCAGGGGGAATAGGAACAGATTCAAGATTTCTGTCAAACAAGGCACTGTGGAGGCCGGTAATGAGCCTTTCCATCTCCAGAAAGAGCATTCAGTTTTGCCTTCCTCGAGGCTAGCTAGTTGTCTCGCCTCAAAGAATCGAACATGAAAGAAAAATACTATGAGAAAAGAATGAGCGTGCTTCTGTCGAAATTATAAGCCATGTAATATTATAAAATAAAATGAGTTGTATTAATGCCTCTTGTAGGATATGTATATATATATATAACTATACGGTGATCTATTTCAATATGCACAGACCATAACTAAGGGTAACTACGTGGAAACGTGTGTACTGTGTCCATTAATGTCCAGCACTAGCACTAGCACTAGGGACTGCTTCAGCGTGCGACCATTCTTTTAAAAATGAGGAGCAAAGAGGCCTCATGACCTTTCCCACTGGGAAATTATTGTGCTGATATAGTGTCCTTATGGGGAACAGTTGGAACCACATTGCCCTTGGAGACATCTTCCTTCTCTTTGTCCAATTCATCCTACTTTCCAACGTTCCTATGCTGATGAATGATGAAACCCAAAAGCGAAATGAGCAAAATGAGGCTCATACAAGACAAAAATGGGGCATTATTCCTTCCAAGATGAGCTGTTTTGGATGGCAGCTTCTGCTACGTGGCTTACTAACAAAAATGGGACTGCACAGGAGGGGAATTGTACCATCCAATGCAGAATTAATTTGTGGTTTCTGTAATGGTGATTTCGAGAACGAAGACCACCTGTTTGTTCTTTGCCCAAAGTTGCAGAATTTATGGATGAGGTGCTATAGATGGTGGGGTGTCTCACTTGCATGCCCTTCCAAATTCCATTCATTTATTGGGTGCATGTCACTGTCAAGGCATTAAAATGCATATGAGGGCTGAGATTTGGTTTTTCCTTTTCCTTGTGATTACATGGTCTGTATATGGTTCATGAGGAATTCGATGGTTTTTAATTCAGCAACTTGGGAAGAGGATAGGATATTTGAGATGATTCAAAGAAGGACTTTTTCATGGACTAGTCACCTCGCAGTGTCTTCCCATGTCACCAGTGGTGTTTATTTCTACAGTTATGAGCTAACTGCTAAGGAAATTTGAAGTTCTGTCTTTTCTTTAGCAATTTAATTGTCGAGATCCTAGGTTTTATGTGTTAGAATATCCTGACTTTCATTTCTAGTCAGACTTGAAATTGTAAGTTGAAGGTGAAGTATCCTTTGTACTATGAGTAAATAATATTTTGGTTCATCTTAAAAAAAAAAAAAAGAAATTAGTACATTTTTGGTTTTAATATATTTTTTTAGAATTGTTTCAATTTAATTATTAAATATAATATTAATATAGATGATTCAATCATTTTTACATTCTATATGTATGATTATAGTTTCAAATTTATTTTTATTTAATTTTATATTAAAAATAATAAATTTTAATGAATATATTGTGTAATATATTAAATCAAAATATACATTAATTACTGTTTTAAAAAAAAAGATAAAGAAACTTAATCATCTTTATTTAATAATTAATTACAAGCTTTAAAGAAACTTGATCATCTTTATTTAATAATTCATTACAAGCTTTAATTGCTTGATGCTTAATACAAATCGACAACACTCCCAAGGAAATCCAACTAATAAAACCCAATAACATATAACACATAAACTGAATTTAATTAATAACGTGGAGACAACTGTGTAATTCCAAGTGGATTATCTATTCCAATACTTGTAACGGACTGTAATCCTTGCTCTAATGATGATGTCCTTCTCCGGGATCACTCGGACCCTCCTTCGCGGGGAAATAAACAGCAGAGAGCTCTTCAAGTGGAAACAAATGTCCACTTCTAGGACTAGGAAATGACAGCAATCCTCGCCCTACATGTCCTTCTCCTGAAGGACTCTTACCGTCCTCCTTGAGGAGATGAACAACAAAGAGGTCTTCATGTGCAGGCAGAGTTCTTAGAACCAAATTGCCCTTCAATGTGGGGATTCATCTTGGTTAAATCCTTATTTTGGTTTCTTTATTTTAACCAAAAAAAAAACTCTTTTTAATTTTTCTACTTAAAAAAACTTATTTTTTATCCTAAAAATTTAAAAATCCAACGTCCTTTTAATCCCTTTGTTATTTTTTACACATATGATATGTTAAATAATAGAAATTCTAAAATAAGAGACTAAAAAGAGATGAAAAAGTCTTTTTTTGGTTTTTATACTTAAAAAAAAAAACTTCTTTTTAGTCAATTTACTTTAAAAAAAAAAACCATTTTTAGTCTTTCTATTTTGTAACTTTTGTTATCTAGTGTAAAAAGATAACGGAGAGGTCAAAAATATATCAGGTTTTAAAATTTAAGAATTAAAAAGAAATTTTTTTTAAGTAAAGAGACTAAAAATTTTTTTTTATTAAAATAGAGGGACTAAAAAACAGTTTTAACCTTGCATCTTTCTCCTACGTGCGCAAAAGCTTCCTAGCTTCCAGTGGTGCTAGGCAGATGAACCCCAAAACAAAAATGCATAGCGAAACAAGGTTAATGCGACCCATTTGAAGAATGTTCAAAGGAAATTATCAAAAACAAAGATCTTCCAAATTCGCCTTCGGTGATGCAGTTTGGTCCGTAGTTTCGAAGCCTTGAATGCAAGTGTATGTATAAGGACAAATTTGGCCCATAATCATGTAGGCTTTTTTCGACCTTTTTGGCCCAGCATAATCGTATGGGTCATGGCTGTATTTGGCATGAGAAAAGTTTCTCCATTTTCCATTTTCCTTTTTCTTTCTTAGAAATAATTTCCTTTTCATGTTTTAAGCTTTCTGAGATGCTGCTGGTATACATTTAAAAATTTTTCTTTATCTTTCCCTTTGTGTGTTTGGCATGAGAAAAGTTTCTTCATTTTCCATTTTACTTTTCCTCTCTTAGAGATAGTTTCCTAATTTTCATGTTCATTAGAAAATGAAAATTTTTGAAAATATGTTCAGCAAATGGAAGTAATTTTTTGAACTGACCCTTCAAGTTTAATGGTTTGTCCTCAAACGTTAATACTTGTGCTCAGTTGATTAGAAATTCAATTCTTACCAACTACTTGAAAATATTCTCCTTCCCCATAATTCCCTATGTTGAAAAAAAAAAGGAAAATAATTTTTATTTAAAAATTCATATATAATATTTCGGTAAAGTGGCCATCAGTCCTGCCTCCCAAAAAAATTTGGAGTCCCAACCCAAAACGGCGTCGTTCTCTTAATCCCAACCCCTCCCTTTTGCCTTTGCCTCTTCTGCAATCATCTCCATCTCTATCTCCGATTCCTTCTCCATCGCCTCTCATCTCCATCGACTCCTCCAAATCCTTCGATTCCACTGCAATTCATTTTCTCCGTCGATGGTGACCCCTGCTTTTTTTCACTTCTTCTGCAATCATCTCCATCGATTCCTCCAATTCCTCCAATTTTTCAAATGCAATCCCATGCCAATGGCTTAATCCCTAACACCCACTACTTTAACCCCATTATGCAGCTGCAATTCATCATCTCCGTCGATTCTACCACTGCAATTCATCATTCTTGCCTAGCTCTTCCTTCTTCGACTTAACCCGAAAAAAATTGAACTATATATCACATGAGCTATCATTTTGCATCACAAAAATTTCCCATACCCATTTCCTCAAGTAAGCAACCCATCATCATAAAAATTCAATAACATAAAAAACAAACACCAATCAAATTATAATGGAAACTGTACAAAACCAAGTGAACTGAATTTAACAGTACATCATTTGCAATAGAAAATCAAGAGGTTAATGAATCATATCCAAAGCTAAATCAAGATCCAATTACCCTTAATCCAAGTAGATCATGTCAAAATTTCATAACATAGAGTTCACCAAAAAACCAAAAGAAGTGAAACCCAACTATTGTGATTAACAAACAAACCCAAGAAGATTACTTGAACAGGGGCAGCAAAAAAACCTGACATTACTGCAAAAAATCAGTGGGTTTCTTGTGTATATGCCAACAATTTTTCATCTGCACCAAGGATGCAAACGCAGCAGCAGCCAGAATAAAAAAAAATGAAAAGAAAAAGCAGAAGCAAGCAGTGCAGCTACACTACCAGAGCCAGCATTCTGCATTCTATCTGTGTTTACTATAGCCGCTCCGTTCTCGTTCTCTAGACCCCTTTGAGTGCCGTGGCTCATCTTCCCTCTCAGCCATTGGTGGAAGCAATGATTCATACCTCGAAGGCTTCCTCTTGAAATGCCGCTCATCGTCGCTAGACTCATAATCTATCGCACTGCTACTGCTCTTCTTTACACCGGTGGAAACAGCCTTGGCAGCAACAGCAGAGGATGATGACTTATGTTCATCGTAGTAACCATTGGAAGCTGCCTTGTCATGAGCAGAAGAAAATGCAGGTTCAGAGGACAGCTTGCGTCTCTTATTGGCCTCTTCCTCGGGGAAACATATGCGAGAGAAGACGCTCCCCTTATGCTTCTTGTCTGCGGTAGCTGTTGTTGGAGATACAGAAGCGGCTTTAGTGGCTACTTCAGTCCTGGGCTTTGCAGAGGACTCTGAGCGGTGGTGATGGTGGTGGCGGTCACGGTCTTTCTCATGGTCATCGTAATCGTATCAAATTTTGTGATGCAAAATGATAGCTCATGTGATATATAGTTCAATTTTTTTCGGGTTAAGCCGAAGAAGGAAGAGCTAGGCAAGAATGATGAATTGC